TTTAACCCCAGTACTTAGGAGGCAGAGGCAGGTGGATCTCTGGATCTCTGTGAGTTCAAGGCCAGCCTGGTCTACATAGGGAGTTCTGGGTCAGCTAGTACTACAGGGAAACCCTGTCTCAAAAAGACAAAAAAACCCCTAAAAAACAAAAAACACATAAAAGGGTAAATCTTTAAAAATAAATAAATGAGGATCTTCCTATAGTGTTACTATAAGACCCAGAAATTCACCCCCTAGGCAAATACCCAAGAGAAATGAAAAACCTTGTATGTGAATGTTCCTAGTGACACTGGTTATTATAACCAAAAAGTGGAAACAGCCCACAGGTTTTTCAGTGGATGAAAGGGAAAGGATACAGTAAGCAGGGTCCTCCACATGAACAGTATTCAGATCCCAAAAGGAATGGAGTCTTGCCATGCAGCACCGTGGAAAAATCTGGAAGCAGTGATGCTTGGTGAGAGAAGCCAGATGAAGACTGGCAGTCATTGAATGAGTCCATTTCTAGGAAATGTCGAGGACCAGCAAGTCTAGAGAGGCAGACAATGTCAGGGGCATCTGGGAAGGGAGAACAGGAAGTAACTGCTAATGGGTCTGGGATTCCTTTTGGGGATGATGAAAATGTTCTAAAATTGATAGTAGCCATGACTATACAGCCATCTCTCCAGCCCCAATATACAGCATGATGAATATTCTGGAAGTCACTCACCTTTAGCTTTGGGTAGTGTCCTAGTTTGTTCTTCATTGCTGTGACAAAACACTCTGACCACTACCAACTTGGGGAGGAAAGGGTTTATTTATCTTACATCTCCCAGGTCACAGTTCATCATGGAGCCCAAGGTAGGAACTCAGGGCAGGAACCTGGAAGCAGGAGCTGGAGCACAGGCCATGGAGGAACACTGCTTACTGGCTTACTCCTCTAGCCCCTGCTCAGCCTGCTTTCTTATGCAACATAGGCCCACCTGCCCAGGGGCAGCACCACCCACAGTAGGCTGGGCCCTCCTACATCACTCATCAAGAAGATGCCCCTCAGACATGGCCACAGGCCAGTCCAATGGAGGAAATCCCCCAATTGAGGCTCCCTCAACCCAGGTGTGTCAAGTTGACATTAAAGCTATCCAGCACAGGTAGTATGTGGATTATATCTCAATAAAGCTGTTACAACAAAGACTGTGCAGTCAGGATCCAGAATTCAATTCTACAAAGAAGGAATGGAAATGTGGAGGTGGTTAAAGGAAGAAAAAAATTTTTGAATTAAAAAATTTATTTATTGGGGAGGTGAGGGCGGGAAAAATTTATTTTTTTAAATATTTTATTTATTATTTTTATTTTATGTGTATGAGTGTTATGCCTGCATGTAGGTGAGTGCACCCATATCGTGCAATGCCCAAGGAGGCCAGAGAGGCATTGGATCCCTTGGAACTGGAGTTGTGGACCTTTGTTAGCCGCTATGTGGGTACTGGGATTTGAACATGGGTCCTCCAGAAGAGCAGTGTTCTAATTTGCTTTCAGTTGCTGTGGTAAATGTGGTGGCACATGCCTTTAATCCCAGCACTTGGGAGGCAGAGTCAAGTGGATCTCTGTGAGTTTGAGGCCAGCCTGGTCTACATAGCAAGTTCCTAAAAACACCAATGTCAGGTCTGTCACAGCAGTGTCTTACTCTCTGGTACCAATTTCTGTTCTAGTTTGCTTTTCTATTGCTGTGACAAAATACTCTGACCAATACCAACTTGGGGAGGAAAGTGTTTATTTGGCTTACATCTCCTGGATCACAGTTCATCAAGGAGCCCAAGGTAGGAGGAACTCAGGGCAGGAACTTGGAGGCAGGAGCTGAAGCACAGGCCATGGAGGAATGCTGCTTACTGGCCTGCTCCCCTGGCTCATGCCCAGCCTACTCTCTTATACAATACTGAACAAACTGCCTAGGGGTAGCACCACCCACAGTGGGCTGGACCCTCCCACATCACTCAAAAATCAAGAAAATATCCCACAGACATGGTCTCAGGCCAGTCCAATGGAGGCAATTTCCCAATTCAGTCTTCTCTACCCAGGTATGTCAAGATGACAACTAAAATTATTTAGCATAAGCAGCCAGTGCTCTTACCCGCCAAGCCATCACTTCAGCCTCTGGAAGAAATTTTTTTTTTAAAGAATTCTGTTTTATTTATTTATTATCTATCTATCTATCTATCTATCTATCTATCTATCTATCTATCTGTCTATCATCTATCTATCTATCTTGGTGTTGGGTGTTTTTTTTTGGTCTTTTTGAGACAGTGTCTCCTTGTAGCCTCAGCTGGCCTGGAACTCACAGAGGTCTGCCTGCCTCTGCCTTACAAGTGCTGGGATTAAAGGTGTGAGCCACCACATCTGGCTTATTTTTATTTTATGTGTATGACTGTATGAACAGATCCTCTTCAAGAACAGCCATGGTCTTAACCATTGAGCCATGTCTCCAGCCCCTAGAAGAAACTTAAAAGAATTTTTATTTATTTATTATTTTTATTTTTGCATATGAGTGTATTGCCTGCATGTAAGTAAGTGCACCCATGTTGTGCAATGCCTTGGAGGTCAGAAGAGGGCTTCGGATTCCCCTGGAACTGGAGGGAGTTAAGGACAGTTCACAGCCGCCATGTGGGTGCTGGGAATCAAACCTGGGTCCTCTGCAAGAGCAGTCAGTTCCGTTAACCGCTGAGCCATCTCTCCAGCCCCAGAAGAAACTTTTTTTTTTAAAAAAGAAAATATTTTATTTATTTTATGTGACATTGGATCCCCTGGAACTGGAGTTACACACCACTGTTAGCTGCCATGTGGATGTGGGGAATCAAACCTGGGTCCTCTGCATGAGCAGCCAAGCCAGAGCTCTTAACTGCTGAGCCATCTTTTCAGCTCTGAGGAAGGAAATTTAAACTCCCTTTCCTGCCTCTCTAGAAGATGGGCTTGCATGCCCACCCCTGATCTACCTTACCTTCCTCCAGGTGTGGTCTGCTGTAGAGCCTTTATTCTACTATCCTACTCTCTCCTCTGCCTGGCACATGTTTATCTCCTTGCCTGGCTATCACACCTAAAAAGTATTTTCTAACCTCTCCTCAGTGATCCATATGCCAGGCTCCTTGTTCTGTCCTGGAAGAACTTGGGGGTACATGTCACCCTAGCTTCTCAGATTTGTATCCATTTCTACCAAGAGAGCTAGAGGGAAGGTAGAGGATGGGAGTGAGCTTAGCTAGTCACTAGGGATAGTGACTAGGGACCAAATTCAGCAAGAAGTGTAGGGATTTGAGCCTGAAGTGGTAACTGTTTAGACTAAGTAGTTAGTTGCAGCAGGGCAGGGTGGAGCCTTCCTAGCAGTGCTCTGAGAACTAGTTTGTAATAAATCCCATTTACAGTTAGACCTGAAGAAGAACTTCCTGGGACCTTGCATGTGCCAACATGCCTCCCAGACAGTGCTATGCTAACCCATGGGCCTGTTGGTAGAGGCTTGCCCTGACAAGCAAGGGCATCCCTGGCATCTAAAACTTGGGTTTGGGTACCATGTAGCATTCACTGGCCCTGACTGCCCTGGGGTGGGAACTCTGGAAATACCTAATATCTGTGTATCTGTGGGTCACTGAAGTTCTCTTTCCCTCAGAGGCAGGACACAGTGATGGGACTTGTTCAGATGCCTTTAGGCCCAGGGGCAGCTCATTAAGAAGCAGAACATCCCAACACTTGGGAGGCAGAAGCAGGAGGATCTCTGTGAGTTCAAGGCCAGCCTGGTCTACATAGTGAGTTCAAGGACAGCTGGGGCTACAGGGAGACCCTGTCTCAAAAAGACAAAAAAAAAAAAAAAAAAAAAAAAAAAAAAAGTTCAAGGGCAACCTGAGCTATACAGCCAAACCCTGTTTCTAAAAAAAAAAAAAAAAAAAAAAAAAAAAAAAAAAAAAAAAAGAAAAAAGCAGAACAGAGGACAGGGTCAGGCAAGAGAGGCTAGGCCTTTGTGGAGAGGGGTCAGGAACTGGCACCAGGCTGCCAGGAAGGACAGGGGCAGAGAGAAGACCTAGACTTAGTTTCACCTTTACCCTGGGACTGGTTGGCTTATTCACCCACTTGGAGTCTTCTTTCCTCCTGCCTTCCTAAGCAGGCATCCTTGTGGACCTGTTGAACCTTGAGTGAGAGATGGGGGTGCGAAGCACCTTCAGTGTTCCAGATTGGCAGGTTCCACACCTGTGAGGGGTTCAACTTCTCCACGTTCCAAGGAAGCTCCCCAGGCAGGACCTGGGTTCCTCCTCTCCTCGCAACACCCACCCCAGCACAGGTCTCTCAGAACCCACCAGGGGTAGTCACTTTGTAACTTCCGGAAGGGATCATTGACATTTTAGGGAGGCCAGTGCTGTGAAGAGGTGGAGAGGTTCAGGAGACTCAAGTTTGAGACTCACTGGGCCTCTAGAAAGGACACCTGTTTTCCCTGAGCCTACTGCCCAGACTCTAAAGAGGTCATTAGACCTCCCGATGAGCTCTCTCCACAAGGCAGGGCTCCTGTTTTGCTAGACCGCTAAGAGGATTGTTCCTGGGAATGCAAATGCCACAGGCTCCCAGATGATTGCACACTAGGATGCAGGCATGGTCTCGAGCTTCCTTCGCAGGAAGGCTCCTGGATCCCGGAGCATCTGCGGCCGAGTCGCCTAGTAATGAGGTTCCCACGTCCCCAAACTAGGGATGGGTCCGCACACCTGGAAGGGGCGCAGATGGGCGTCCAGACTCCAGGCTAGAGTTTCCCACTCGCGCATCCCTGGCGCTGCTTCGTGTCCCTCCCCGTTTTCACATTCCCCTGGTGCAAGACTGAAGACCGGAGCGGAGCAAACCGGAGACTAGCCCAGGAATGTCGGGGTGGCCCGGGTGGCTCCGGGCCGCATTCGACGTTAGCGGATGTCTGCTTGTCCCAGACCAGGACTGGACCGGGGCGGGGGTGGGGGTGGGGGTGAGGAGGGGCATCTCTGCCCCGCCCCGTCCCGCCCCTTGCGGGCTCTTGGCCGCCTGGTTGCACAGCAGAAGCTCGGCGCCCTCGGGCTGAGAGCGCCGCGGCCGGGATGTGCAGCTGTCTGCGGCCCCTGCTTCCCGGCTTGGGCGCGGCGCTACCCCATGGCAGGTAGCGGTGGCCTGGGTGGTGGGGCCGGAGACGGCCAGGGAGCTGGACCAGGGCAGGGGCCAGCACTGCGGGCTCCACGCGCATTGCTGGCGCTCGTGGCGCTGGTGCTCGGCGCGTACTGTCTCTTCGCTCTCCCCGGCCGCTGTCCATCAGCCGCCGGCGCCCCGGCGCCGGTTCCCGCGCTCGCGGATCCGCCCCGCGCCGCCCTCCGCCCGGGAGTGCTCGGCCTGCCGGTGGCCCTCGGTCCGGGCCGCCGGCGCTTCCCGCAGGCGCTCATCGTGGGCGTGAAGAAAGGCGGCACGCGCGCGTTGCTCGAGTTCCTGAGGCTGCACCCCGACGTCCGCGCACTTGGCTCTGAACCTCACTTCTTCGACAGGTGCTACGACCGCGGCCTCGCTTGGTACCGGTGAGCGCCCTTTGGGTCCGACCCGTAGCGGTCTGTGCAATCCCTGGCTCGTGCCTTCTGTGGGAGGGCCTTCTGCACCCCGGGGACTAGGGACGAAATCAAGGTAGAATCACAAGGAATTGGGTCTGAGACCAACCTGTTAGGGGAATCAGACTTGACCCCTTTGGAATGCCCCAAAAGGAAACTCCAGGGAAAAATCCTTGTTCTCCTGTTCTTGTGTGCTGAGGGACTCAGCAAAGTATGAACCTAGTGGAAAAGTAGTTTTAAGCTACAGGGATTTTTGGATAGGTAGATTTTCTTTTTTTTAGAGGAGTGGGTAGTGCGGATTGAACCTGGAGTCTTATACATGCTAAGCAAGTGCTCCACCACTAAGCTATTAATACATCCCCAGCCGCAGTAGGATTATTGGGGAGCTAAAACCTTAGACATACTTGTAGCTCAGTCACTTTATCATTTCAGCTTCCTGACTCTCCCACCCTAATTATCCTCTGGTCAAATATGTTCACTATCTGACCACTGGCCAGGTACATTAGGAAAGGTTCTGCAGGTTCACAGAAGCTTTCTAGAAAAGGCCTTCTATCCCAAGGCCCCTCCCCACCCTGTAATACAGGAGCCTTTCTTGACAGCTGGATTCTGGAGAAAGTTAGGACTGGACTTTGGAGAAGGAGACACTATCTTTCAGTATAGCCCAAAGGGTAGGGATTAGGATCCATCCTGCAGCTGTCCTTTCCCAACCCAGGATAGATTTGGGGTGTGGCAGTGGAATGTGGGGAGCATCGCCCCCGTGAAGCAGCATATTCTGGTGGCTGGTCAGACATCAGCCCCTCCCTGCTGAACCTGGTGCTAAAGCCTCAGGGAGGCTCTGCCTACTGCCTCCTCCTGCCAGGCCATCTCTGAAGGTGCAGTCTCTTCCTGTGGGGAAATAGGGATTTTACAGACTGACTTGCCTCATCCCCAAGCCTGGGCTGAACCAAGGTCACCTGGAGTATCAATGGGGGTGGCAGAACTCCAAGGCATACCAGCGCCTGTTTCCCAGATCCTTCCCATTTCCATATGTTGACTTTGCCTTTTGTATCAAGACAGATTTTAGGGGAGAAAAAGAGATACTGCCTTCCACTCTCTAAAGAGTTGGTGCTACCTGAGGAGGGGTCTTTGGATACACTGGTGTACCTAGGGTGGGAGTGTTTAGGACAATACACCCTATTTTTCTGATTCCTTCATCAGTGTGGAATGAAACAAGCAGCCTGCCTGGGCTCCTGGACTGTGTAGCCTAGTATCCTCACCCAGACATAGCCACAAGTGTTGCTGTGTTCTCTGGTTGCCTTCATCTCAGATTCTTTTCCTCTGTTCTTTCAATCCATCACAAGTGTGCCCTGAGCCTCTGAAAATGCCCACCTATGGCTCAGTATCCTCAGCTTCAGGATGTGGGCAGAGTCCCCAGCACTTGCAGAACTCTGTTCAGATATGGGTTGAGGGTACACTGTCCTTATTGAACAGCAGCCAGCCCCTCAAGTGAGGTTCTGGGATACTGCTTGCATTGGGCTATGATCTGCCTCATTCAGACAGTGACCTGGTCATCTGGACTCAGCAGGTGGGTTCTGGGTTGCCCTTAACCAGCCTTTCTCCTCCATGGTCATCTGTTA